AAGGGCTGTAAGTTACACAGACAAGGAAGAGTGGTTCTACCCGTGCGATGTGGGCGTCTTTCGCTTCGAAGGGCGTGGTTAGTCATAAATCGCTAGCTCTTGGCACCCTAAAGAAGCGCTTTCAATTTGCAAAAAAAGCCGCTGCCTCTGTGGTTGGGGCCTAGCTACTTCACACATCGAGAGAATAGTTCCACTGGCTTATCGCGGGCTTGCCTTCAATGAATATAAAAAACCTGGTTACCATGGCTCTATAGCATAAACAAACTTACTTGGCAATGTACTTGTACGCTTGAGTGTACGTATTCGAATCCTCGATAGTTTTTGCTGTGATTCGCTCGACGAGGCGTTGACGAGCTGCCAGTAGCCTTTCGGTCAACTTTGTAGGTTCACGACGTTTCACTGCACATAGAATCGAAGCACAAGCCGCTCCCCACGACGAGTCGTGGCGATCCAGTAAAGGATCACACTTCTTAAAGGAATTCAAGCGCTTCACATGTAGGAATTGCACAAAAAGAGTCTTCTAAATTTACAAAATGGTCCTCTAAGTATACAAAAAGACATCTAGGGAACGATACATGACCAGGGTCGAAATCACATCGCGAAAATTCGATGGGAAACAGGATGAAAAAGATCCTCCTTTCAAAAAGGGCACTGGAAATAGATCACAGATATAAGGATGGTGTGAGCGATACTGGAGGAACTTTGGTTTCGAAAAAAAAGAATCGTAAGTCGTGGTGACAGTGGAGAGGTGATCATTCATACTAAAATAACCAGGTTTCACGTCTTTTTGTATCTTGGTTCAAAGAGTAAGCCGCAAACAGAGACCTTTGAAAGTGATTTTGAGTGGGTAGGCGACAAAGAAGATCGTAGTAAGCGCGACTTCGGAACGGGGGGGGGCACGATCCTGGAGTGAAATAGACCAGATGCAGCGTTGAGGAGTAATTAGTCATCAATGAGTGTTTCGGGACTTGTGGCTATAACCATCTCTTAGTGACATCAGTACCAGGACTACTGGATGAATGGATCCAAGGAACGACGAAGCTGGCGCGCCCTCGTCTTTCCGCCTTCTCCACCGCCATATAGAACATAGGAAGACAAGGTGTTGACCAATGATGTGGCTTTCAGGGACCGCCCACCTGGCAATCCCGTACGCTACGGCACGTCGTACGTTGCAGATTCCCAGCGATCGTGGGGGGGGGATTGGGTAGATTCGGTTGTAGCCTTGCTCTCGCTTTTGCTCTTTGGAGTAAACTAAACCCCACTCAACCGCCAGGTCAACGCAGAGTACGGGAGGACCGAGGAGAGTCCTAAAAAAACTTTTCGAAAGTGGTAGGATGTTCGGAAAATTTAGGAACGCGGTAAGAGGAGCGGGAAAGGGTGGAGGGAGTCCTGGAAGAGGTTGAGCGAAAGAAGCGAAAGCTCGTTGATCACAGGGCCAGCTACAGAAGGCCGAAATTGAGCAACACAATCAACACAACACAATGACGAATCAAACAAACCTGGACCATTTTCTCCAATCCAGCCCAGTCTCTTAAATGCCAGGTGGCTTCGAGTTGGCTTGACGCTAAGGAACTTGCTAATTGAGAAGATTTTTCATCGTTCTCTTGGAACGAAATCGCTGTGTTCAATGCCAACTGAGGTTGATTCAGACGTAGCAGACATTTGATGAGTTGGAGCTAAAATGGACTAAGTTTAGAACAATAAAAATCAATGGTAAGAAACATTGTAAACTGAATAATCAAAAATAGTTTTTGAAAAAGAATTTCTATTACTATCAACATATCTAGGGTACAGTACAAGGATTCCGCGGTGCGGTGAACTGCTGCTACCGTATCCCAGGCGGTTTAGGGAGTCCTCTCCAAGCTTAGGTGTTCGCGCTCATGCCAACCAGGTGGGTCAGTGCGGTCAAGCGTGAATCCTGAGCCGTACCGGAAGCAGTGTAGAATAGTAGCTGAAAGTACTCTGAACAGAGAAAGTAAACCACACGCGCGCAATGCAGTAGCAGCGATTCCTCGGAGTGCAAGGCCTTTCTTGCCAGGGAACCAGAAAAGAAATATCCTGAGTTCAGTGAGAGCTCCAAGTAGTTTTGAAAAGGCTGCAATAATGGCGTCTAAGCAAATTAAAATTAAATAAATAAATAATGAAAACAAAAAATAGTAGTGACAGCGCTATACACATCTAAAAAGTAGTGTAGAAACGAAGAAATGTACCTCCTTGTTATTCACAGATTGTGCATAGAGTGGTAGGGCTTCGTTGTAGTCACCGTTCGCTTCTAGGGCCAGAATCCTTTCGTCCGCTGTTGGCGAAGTACATGTTGAAATACACTCAAATGATCCCAAGACGCCGTCCACATTTTGTAGTTGAGTATATATGCGCTAAATTTCATAAAAGATGTAATCCAATTATATATGGTGTGGTATGATGTCTGGTAATGACGTCAGCTAAACAGATGAGGTTGCGTTCATGCGGTCATCTCCCCGCCAGCTAACCTATGACTAGGAAAAGTAGAGCTATCGATCTCAGCAAAGTCGCTAGCGATCTAGCAAGCTTCGCCAGCGTCCATCAGCGTATACCGATTAAGCTATGATTACTCCGTTCATCACGGTGCACCATCACGCTGTGGAAACTTTGACACCATTCAACTTACTACCCCAAAAACTCAAAAAATTTTTCTGGTGAAACTTTCCCATAAGGTGTGATTCGATGCCCTGATCACAAATATGACACTCGTCTTCTACGCTGGCGCCATTTGGCGCTACCGCCATTTTTTCTCACAGAATGCAATGAAAAATTACACGGGCTGTTAATTCGGTTCCTGATCACAGAATTGTGACAAATCCTTTTTAGCCCTGAGAAGTCGTTCATGGCTAAATAGGAATGTTTTTTTTTTCACATTCCGTCCGTTTCGGCGGGCCCCACAATCTTTTCAATCAAAATCGATAAAAACATACAACATAATGTGTGTTTGATTGCCCCTGATCACAAACAGGCATTCAAGTTTTTATTGACGCACCGCGACACTTACCGCACTTTTAGGGCTGAACCCGCGCGAAGGAGTGATTCTCTTTAGGTCAGGCTCAGCCTTAGCAGAGCGCAGATGATCGTTGTGCCCTCCATCAGCGCCAGCGCAAAAGTTAATGTTATATTCGAAATCAGGATGTCAAATGACCCAAGGATACAAGTTTTCAGTGGATTTGGTGATCTAGGGTATCTTGCGCCAGCGCATTGTGGCGCGCAGGCTTTTCATACCGAGGGAATGTGACACTGTGACACTCGTGGTTAGGAGGACGAACTATCCTTACAACCGAGCATTCAGCCAAATCTGCCCCTTAGGAAAAAAAGTTCAAAATCCTGTTGGGTCGGTTATTGTCGGTAAGATCGGGGTAATAATTAGTTTGGTTGAAATAGTGCCGAAACGTCTGCAAACTACGACCCCCCACCCCCGACCCCCCCCACCCCAAATGCCTTTTCTGGTACGACCAACACTTTCCCATCTTGATTGGTAACCAGAGGGTGAATAGAGCCTTCTGGTTAGCCATCAGAAATGGTAAAGTGGCGGTGCCGTCACGGGGGGATATAGCACTCGTGAAACCGGGAAAAATACGTGCCAGAGAAAATTCTCTCTCACAAGAAAATACGACCATCGGTCTTATCTCAGCGACCCAGTGAGCCTTCAAAGGAAGCGAACCACTATTCCGCTGAGAGTGTACAGAAGAGCAGGAAAGGCCGCACCATCGAATGACCCCCTCCCCCCGACCTCCCTTGGACTCTCGCGACCAAATGGTAGGAAGCGGGGTTCATGTACTACCAAGAAGGTGATAATTAACTTCATAGCGGCGAAAAACTCTCTGAAAGGAATAGATAGATGCCACCTCAACAGAACCTGTAGGACTATAAGGCCAAGATGGGGTGTGCTTGGACGAGTTTTCACTTGCTGATAAGATGGTGATATCAAACACTTCGCTCTCATCGTTCGAAAAGGAAAGAATCAGTAGCAGAATAGCCGCATCACCAGAGAATGGTTGGAGGTGAAATTGTGGTGAACTAGCATAGCATTGGGCAGTGGGCGGGTCATTGCCTTCGTCTTTGATGAGTGGCGTCCTTATCACATACTTTTGAGGCGTCAAAAAGATATATCCTCTTTGCTTGCGGACAGGACCTCCATCTCCAAAGACGGCGCCTGTACATCAAATGGACACGGGACGTGCCCTTGAGGCTGCTAAACTGCTTCATCTACAGATTGAACAGCTGCTGCTCTATAATCTTCTAACAACCAGAAAAAGTACGTAAAATAAGTGGTGTCGTTTCAAATGTTCGATAATCCTCTGAAAAAAAAGATAATATTTGATGAAAATTAGTTGAAATTATTGGAAATACCCGAAGCCAGGAGCAAATGCAAATGGTGCCTTCAAATGACAGAGAAAAAGAAGACAAGAGAGCCCGAATAATTTACCTCAAGGGTGAAGAAATGATTCCGATCAAAGATATTACAACCAAAGCTGTCCTGCTTGATCTCATGCTGTTCGCACCTGCAATAGACCACTAACACTTACAATACCAACTAGTTAAAATATTGTACTTGGGTACTGACTGAGAGTAATAACCCTACCATCGAAGAGCTCTATGCATGCATTGACACCTCTCGGCAGCCACTACTACCAGTAATGAACCGTTGGTTGCCTTTTCAGAGAAGACCCGAGACAAAAACGCTTGCGTCCTCTCCAGTTCCTGAAGCGGAAAAAGAATTATGTGTGAAACCCCTGGAAAAAAAACCTATAACAGAAGCATACTGACCTTATCATTTGGCCTTTTCTTTGCCATCCTTCGAATCGCGTACTGCTCCAATGTATCGAGTACTGAGAACACCACATGTGCTGCCAGCCGCATCCAGCCGGCAGCATTCGTCACCACACGGCGCAGAACACTCGTCATTTCGTCACAGTACTGAAAAGGGGATTGTCTCAAAACCTGCGCTCTTAGCTTTGTTCAGTAAAGCCAAGGCCATACTAAACAAGGTGATTGGTTCAACACCTGCGCTCTTAGCCTTATTCTAGGGTCGAACTTCAGTAGGCTGCAGAGACATTTGATCGGATAGTCGCAAATCGTTTCGGTCCTTTCAGGCTCTGATGAAGGCGGTCTCGCCGAAACGTGCGTAAGCCGAATAAACTGCTGTATCAACCTCGCGAAGAGTTTCCACAGAAGAATTTCTACAGTACTCAGAGCGATCGCCGAGGTTTTATTGAGGCGCCCGTATGGCGGCTCTTAGCCATTGTTTCAGTAAAGCAAGAGAGGCAGAGCAAAAAGGACCATCTCAAACGTAGGGGAAGGAAATTCGTCCACCACGTTGACACGTCATCAATGAAAGACTTTGAGAATGTAGCCAAATGCGCCATCAGTTGGTGGGCGATTTAGTCGGACTCTATACGACCCCCCTTTTTTTTCTGGCGAGTTCGTACAACCCCGCCCCCCGCCCAGCCCCCTCAGTCCTTCCTCATCAAATCGAGCCCGATCGAGGCGGTGGGGAGCGGGGGGGGAGACGAGAAGCGGGTGAACGCATATCGTGTGAAACAAGGAAAAGCCGCGAGACAATACGACCCCCCCCCTCTACAATCAGATTTTTCCCAACTTCCTGCCCCTTTTTTCCAAAATTTCCCGAAAACTTCCCTACTTTTACCAAAAATTTTGCTGTCGAGCGGGGAAGGGGGCATATAACCACTCCCACAACGCCAAACGTAAATACGACCCTCCCCTCCCAAAAAGGATCAAATACGACATCCTCCCCTTTCCCTTTACCAGCGTCGCATGAAGCGGAAAAAATCAACTATCAGCAACGATGTGCCCTGCTTAGCCAGCGTTCAGACTTAGCGACAGCAGCGCTTCGGTCGCGCATGCTTCCAACTGCTTCCTATGGCGGCTAACGCGCGACCGAAGCGCTGCCGTCGCGATGTCTGAACGCTGCCTCACCAGTTGCGAGGCGGCTTTCAGACTTCGCGATGGCGCGCTACGATGCGCTACATTGCAGCAGCGTTCCTGCTATAAGAGGGAAACGCAACCATGGGTATCGATCGGCGCCGGCCGCTAGTGCTTTAAGGGAGTTTAAGAGAATAGGAGGGTAACAGAGTGATTAGGCAACGCGTAGCCTCTGCTCTCCGCAACTCTTTCAAAGCGTCAGAGGCTGGCGCCGATCGTTACTCGTCTGTGGCGGCATTTTCGTTCTTAGGATTTGAGCGGTACTGCAATGGTAGCAGTGGTAGTACAACGTAGGGCGTCATCGCAAAGTCTGAACGCTACCTAAGAAGCTTGAGGATCAGCGGAGCGTTAATATTGTAACAGAATTCAGCCGTGAATCAATACTGAAATGCTCAACACAAACCTCATTGATCATATCTTCATTATTCTCGAGTATCAGTCGAATGATAAGTTGAGGGAGAACATGTTGCGTAAAGACAGTATCTTTCGCGAACACAATCCATTTCAGCGCTTTGAAAAGTTCTTTGTCTGGATGCTGACGAACCTGGAAGAAGGATATCGAGGAAGGTCAAATATGCTAAATTCAACAACTGGCTAACTTACCCTTGGCACACCAATAATGAAGCACTGAAGCAACCAGTCTTCATATCCCTGTACATGATCCACAACAGGCCTAAATTTTACTCTCAGCAAGTGGTTTTGAGGGCAACCAACACGATTACCCCAGTATTATTGCAGAGCGATCAACCACTGGAATTTTTCCTCTTCACTACGCTTCTACCTCTTTCTGCCAGTGCCGTGTATGCGACGGTGGGCGTGGGCGTCTACCGCATGCGGCAAGAATAGAGCTCATAGCCGCATGTACGATGTGGTAATGCTTTAGAAGAGTACCAGGGCAGGGAGAATGACAAGTTAGCGACCTTAGCTTCCTT